ACTCCCCAGTGAGGCGGGCAGAACCATCCCAAATCCAAGCAGCAGTCCCCACTGCTCTCTCCCATTCCCTCCTCCTCCCCAGATTCCTACAAAGAGCCTAAAAGAAAATATCAAACACAGAATAAAGGAGCAGGGACAGTATACTCTGGAGGATGGCATGTAGCTGCAGAACTCTAGGAGCTGGGAAGGAATAGGAACCTATAAGGCTTGGGCCATGATGGGAATGGGGACAGGGACAGGGACGAGGAGGGCCTGTCTGGCCCCCCTTCTGCATGCGGGCTTCTGCCTCTCCTACTTCCTTACCCACCTGCACACCAGCCTCCTTCGGGTGTGCCTTCATCGCCTCCAGTGCAGCCAAAGCACCACCGCCCTCCACAATAATCCGGCTGTTCTCGGGCTTGCGCAGGGCCAGGACACACAGGGCTGCACAGCTCTGCTCGCATACCTGCAGGATGGGTCACAGGAATGGCTGAGACCAGGCCAACAGACCCCCAGGTGAGTGTCCCAAGACCCCACTTGAACAGACCACTATCAGTTCAGGTGTGTACCGGACCAGCAATAGCAGGAACAGTATCAGGGTGACAAAAACATCAACCAAGCTCTTCTGTCCCCCTTCCCGCTCTGCTTACCCTGGCTCTCACTCACCAGACCCCCCTCCACCCTAACCTTGCCTGATCCCACCCCTTGCCCACCCTCATTCTCCCTGCCCCTCCCCCTCCCTCATCTCTAGTTGAGGAAATGGAAAGAGCATCACACAGATATAGTGACTGAGCTGGGATTCCAGATCCACTGCCCCACCTCATGAGCCCCTTGGAGGTACCTGGGGGCTGGCCAGGTGCCGGGTCATGGCAGCCACAATGGACTCTGTCCCACCTGCACGGACAATGGCATCCTTCACATCATCATTGCCTGCAATGGCCCTCAGGGCACTCAGCACTTGCTTCACAAGGTCCTATATGGAGGGAACAAGGGGGTCACACCCTGGTGCAGCCAGCCCCCCTCCCTGCTGCACCAGGTGCTAACTGCTAAGTTGCTGTATTGTGGGAGGGGGTCTTGAGGGTAGGTCTGGGGCTGTTCAGCAGTCTGAACAACAGCTAGGGCTGCCCTGGGGCACAAAGGCGGCACGTGACAGCTGGGTTACTATTCATTGTATAGAGAAGGCAGGGGAAGTAGACCTTGTTGTTCCAATGATTTTCCCCCACCCCCCACAGAGGAAGCATTGGCTCAGGTCAGCAATCAGAATACCAGGTCTCCTTGGCCTTGGCTGCAGGCCCAGGGTGGGCAGTGATTGACTTGACCGGCTGCTGTCACTGGCCGGGTCAGGATCCCTAGCCTTAGGCTGGACATGTGGTGAGGGGGTTGATAAGTCACTGTTACATGAAATAATGATGGTCAGGGGTCCTTGACCTGTTATACAGAGAGGAAAGCCCAGGAAGTGAGGGGTAGGCCTCACTCAAGCATCACACAGCTGAGCTGAGGTCTGGGTTAGGCCTGGCGACACCCACTCCTGTCCCTCCTACTCCTGGAAGAAAATATAAAGATACTAGAGGACAGTAAGAAAGAGTGGGATGGGTTTGTCTGCCCCAAAACTTTAGTTCCCACCTATGGGTCAATGAGAAGTAGAAATACATTTTGGTTTTGGAATCAGCACACGGGCCAGGTGTGTCCTCACACAGGCTTGTATGGCTGGCAGGAGCCCGAAGGGACAAGTTCCCTGAGAGGCTGGAGACTTTCCCAGGCATGGAGAAAAATGTCAAATTGAAATCAGGGTGAGGGGACGTTGCACTTTAAGACAGCTCTGGATGCCCACCTGATGGTTGTTGCAGTTGGCCAATAGGGCCACCAGGATGCCAAGGCCCCCGAGGTCTACGACCTCTTGACAGAACTCGTTGCGAACAGTCAGATGGGACAAAGTGCTGCAGAGCTCACTCAGGACGCTGGGGTTGTCAGGGAACGCTGCAGAGAGGGAGGGAGAGGAACTGTGGGGATGAGGAAGGAGCAGAGGACCAGCCACAGCTCCGAGCCAGCACTCCTGGTTCGAATCCTGCTCCACCCTCTGCCTGGCAAGGTGGCTTCCTAAACCAGGAGAGCCCCAGTGAACACCATGGGCAGTATGGACCTGCAGTGCCCCCTGCTGGCAACTGAGGAAGACACTGGATGCCCTGCTCCCCCCACCTCTTCACCATGCCCCAGCTAAATACCAGACCAACTGATGGTAATACCTAAAAACAGAAAATCATAATAATGCCATAATAAAACATCCGAGACTATTTTTATGATTTTGGGGTGGGAATGACCTTTCTAAGTATAAGAGGAAACCCAGAAACCATAGAGAGACATACAGAGTTGACAGGGCAGAACTGAACAGTTGTGAAGACCAAGCTCAGAGGCACAGGGAGGAGGCTGCACTGCCTCTCCGGGGGGAGGGGTGGAGAGCCATAATCTATGCAGAGGTAATGTGATAGTCAGTTCATGTGCCCCAGTGACTCCATGGGCGCTAATCTGATGTGCCATGAAGGTGTTCTCTAGACATGGTGCTATCCATCTGCCTTTAAGTAAAGGAGTGGACCCTGGATGGTCTAATTAGCTGAAGACCTTACCAGAGAAACTGAGGTCTTCCTGAGGAGGAAAAAGCACCCCTGTGGAGTGTGGTGTCAGTTCCTGCCCCACGGATTTGACTCGAAAGCCCCACATTAGCCAACTCCTTGCAATAACTCTTTATACCCACATAACCTACTGGTTGTGTCTCTCTGGTAGAACCCTGACAAAAATGAGCTCCTGTAAATAAACAAGAAAATGCAAATGACCCCTCAGAAAAGCAGCCTGACTTCCAAGATGATCAAGATCTGTTTCCACTCTCTCTAGGGGTTTGGAGGGGAGACTGAGGCAGGCCCATCTCTCTGGCAGACAAGGCAAGAGCCGGTGGGGAAAGGGAACTCATTCTTCTAGCACCTTCAGTACACCAGACCTGTCAGGCCTTTTTTGATGGATGCAGTGGATGGGAGCTGGTGCTTTGAGGTCTGAATGTCAGTGTTACAACCTCCCATGACAGGCTTATGGTTACCCTGGAGTCAGGAACACATATGTGCACAAGAATTTGTGGCCAAGTGTGAACCAAAGTGTGAACTGCTACCTGGGACCAGCCATAGTGAATGCCAGCAATACTTCCCCCATCTTTGGGAAACACCCTTGTTTTCCCTTTGGGGAGCTCTTCCCCACTCTCAATCTCACTGGACAGAGCTGAGTCCCCTCCCCAAATGGCTTTAGATATGTCCATAGGACTTGGTCCTGGCCAATGAGTGCTGGCTCTCCTGGAACAACTAGGAGTAAGGATACTGTTCCATAAGGGCTACCATGCAGGTAGGATGAAGCCAAGAGAGGCAAGTGGAGCCTAGAGCCAGCCATGCCTATGCCTGAAGCAGCTCTAGGCCCTGACTCTAACTCTTACCACACCTGTTCCTACCTTTGGCAGCCTCGATGAGCACCTTCAAGCCTCCGTTCTCCTGCACAATCAGCTTGGCGTGGTCGTGGGCATTGCCGAAGGGCACACGAATGTCATCATCAAAAGTCATGATGCGGAGGGCCCAAGAGGCCTCCCTGACCACATCGGCAGAGCGGCTGTGCCTGACGATGGCACCAGTTAATAGGGGCAGCACCCCAGCCTTCACCAGACTCTGCCGATTCTGCTCATGTTTCAGGCAGGCATGGCGTATGCAGCGGATCCCAGAGCAAATCAGATCAGCTGCATCGGCATGCTGGTCCAGAGTGGTCACCAGCAGCTTTAGGCCCTGGGTGTCCAAGAGGTCGGGCTGGCCATTGATCAGTGCTGACAGAGCATTGAGGGCCTGGAGCAGAAGTCCCTGGTCACCCGCTGCAGCCAGCTTCCAGGCAGCAAGTAGAATGGGGTAGGCACCCTTCTGAGCTGCCAGAAAGCGGCAGGCCTTGTGCTGCTTGCATTGCTCACAAAAGCGGGTAAGTTGTGCTGACACCTCCTGGGGGTAATAGCAGGCCACGGACTCCTGCAGGTCTTCCAGGATCTAGAAAACATGGGAGAAACCTCAGTGTCATCTCAGCCCAAGGAGGGCCACAGTGACAGTGCTGTACCCCTGAGGTCTGGGCCTACACTGGAAGTTCTGTGGGGCCAGTTCCAGCCAAGTCAGCTTCTATGCCTGTGCTTTTAGGAGCCTTGAGTTTCATAGGCCACAGAGAAGTCAAGGTCCAGGCCTCTCAGTGTCCTTGCCAAGGAGCCACACATACAAGAGCAGATGTTTTAAACATCCCAGCCCTGGCTGCCACTGCATGTGAGGTCCCAAGCAAAACAAACTGTCCAACTGAACTCAGTCAACCCAGTAGAATCATAAGAAACAATGAAATGGCTGTTGTTTGGGGTTGCTTCTTATGCAGCCATAACTAACTGATACACCCTCCAATGGCCAGCTCTCCAAAAAAGGTGAAAGCCACCTTCGCTAGGCCTGCCCACACCATGTCTCCTATTTTTCTCTCTCATTTACTCCACAAATATTTCCTGAGCATCTGCCAAATAAAACCATACTGTACACACAGCTGATTCGCTCAAATTCAACTCTAAGCACCTGGGGGGAAATAATAATGAAAGAAAACAATCTGAACAGGACAATCTAGCTGCAATTCAACTCTAAGACCTCAGTGCCTGCCTGAACAGGAGCCTTAAGACAAACCCATACACACCTGTCAAAATGACTGTCATCAATAAATCAACAAGTGTTGGTGAGGATGTGGAGAAAAGGGAACCCTTGTGCACTGTTGGTGGGAATGCAGACTGGTGGAGCACTGTGAAAAGCAGTATGGAGTTACCTCAAAAAATAAAAAATAGAACTGCTTTATGACCTAGCATAACACTTCTGGGAATTTACCTGAAGAAACCTGAAACAATAATTGGAAAGAATATATGGGCCCTCATGTTCAATGCAACATTATTTACAACAGCCAAGATTCTAAGTAGCCCACGTGACAATCAGTAAATGAGTGGATAAAAAAGCTGTGGTACAACCTGGTCGGTGTGGCTCAGTGGTTGAGGGTTGACCTATGAACCAAGAGGTCACAGTCGATTCCCAGTCAGGG